TCATGTGTTGTATCTTGCTTTTCTTTGGTGTAGTGGTTCAGCGCGCGGACTCTAATCTGGGAGAACCGGGTTTGATTCCCCACTCCTCCACTTGCAGCTGCTGGATGACCTTGGGCAAAGCCATAACTCTGGCACAGCTGTTCTTGAAAAAGAGCTGTTTCTGTCAGAGCTCTCTCAGCCCCACCTACCTCACAGGGAAAGGAGTTTGTCAGCCGCTCTGAGACTCTGAGTGAAGGGCGGGGTACAAATCCAATCTCTTCTCTTCTTCTTTCTTGAACTCTTCCTGCATGAAATTCGTCTCAAACTTCTGTATATTGCTGCCCCCCCACCTCCCACCCTGCTGCCTGCATGATATTCTTGAACTGGTCCCCTCCCCGTTCCCATTTTCCAGAGCCGGTGAACGGCTCCCCCATCTTCTTGGCAACTGTCCACCCCATGTGTTCCCGGATAAATGATGTATGCTGCTTGCCAAGATAACACCTAGATAAAATATGGCCTATTTAAATCTTGCTGGTGTCTCGGTTAGCATCAGACCTAAGCCTCTGTGGCAGCTTAATATATTCCTGGCTTTGATGCTTCGGGGAGAAGAGCTGGGGAAAGGCAGAGGGAGAGTGACTGAGAGCCGGGAACTGAAAGACAGAGTCTCCGGTACCCTGGGAATACCTTGCCTGTAGCACAACCAAGGGTAGAATGAATGTCAGTCTATTTTTTTTAAGGTGTCACGGGTCTTACCCAGAATCCTCAGTGGGTGGTAGGAAAAAAACTACCATTTCCACTATAATGTTTATATCGAAGGTTGTTATTAGTCTTTGCTGGAGTCAGATTGGATTAGGGTTCAGAAAGAAGGAGGTCCAAAGGCCAAGTAACTGGTTTGCCTGGCTAGAGTTTCCTCCTCTTCCGAGCCTGTTGTCAGAATAATGGAAATGTAATCCCATGGTTGGGGAAACAGTGCGTGGTCCATCTTTTTACGTTACCCTACTCTCTATATTGAAAAGCATTTTATATATTAAAAAGGCTGTGCGTCTAGATGTCACTCTGGTGTCCATTATTTCTTGTGTTTCCCATCCACTCGCAAAATACACTCTGCACATGGTTAGAGGTGATTTGCTGACAACTCTGCTCAAGTGAAAGGCCCTCTGTCAGGGCCAAATTAAGGCCAATCAATGTCCTAAGCGTAGCCCTACAATGGTGCCTCTCAGCCTTTCCATTGCTTAACTGACAAGACACTAAGATTCAATAAGTGCTGAAGGTGAAATAAGAGATTAAAAATTCAGTTTTCTTCCAAGCCGTCCCCCAGGCCAGACCCCACAAATATATTTTAAAACGTGTTTTTTTTTTTAAAGTATTTATTTAACACAAAAGCCAGTTTGGTGTAGTGGTTAAGAGCGGCAGACTCTAATATAGAGAACTGGGTTTGATTCACCACTCCTACTCCTCCTCCACATGAAACCAGCTGGGTGACCTTGGGCCAGTCACAGTTCCCTCAGAGCTGTTCTCTCAAGAGCAGTTCTCTCAGAGCTCTCTCAGCCCCACCTACTTCAAAGGGTGTCTGTTGTGGAGAGAGGAAGGAAAGGAGATTGTAAACCACTCTGAGGCTCCGAGTGAAGGGTGGGGTATAAATCCAATCTCTTTTTCTTCTTAAATAGCTGTAAGCTATATAAGCAAATTATTTACTTACTAGGAAAAAGGCCCGTTGTGGAAATAAATACAACCGCCTCTAGAAAGAAGCTCTGGGCGGGTGCCCCGGCCTTGGACACTCAGTGTCAATTTGCTGTGGCGACCTTAGCATTTTCTCCAGAGGAACTGATCTCTGCTACCTAAAGAACAGAAGGGAATGGTTGGTTTGGAGGGTGGAGTCTATGACTTTGTACCTGTCCGAGGTCCCACTCCTCCTGAAACCTCACCCTCTCCAGGCTCCATCCCTCACATCTCCAGGAATTTCCCACCTGGAATTGGCAACCCTATCTCCTTCCCAGTCAACCATCAACCTACCTTTATTTCCCCCTAACCTTTCAGCTTTCCACGCCCCACACACCTGCAGCCTCTCCTGTGCTATGAAGCCCTGACTGCTACGTCACATTGGCTGTCATACGGGGGCCACCTCAGCAGCTTATAAGGATACAGAGCCCACCATTTTCTCCAGGGGAACTGATCTCTGACATCTGGAAAGCAGTTGTAATTCTGAGTGATCTCCAGCCCTCACCTGGAGATTGGACACATTTTACCTCAGAACAGCAAACTGCTTAGAATGTTAGAAGCAAAAGCCAATCAAGTTGCATATGCAAACGACCTCTGTGTTCCGAGGCAAAAGCCAATGAGGCTGCATATGCAAATAACCTCTGTGTTCTGACTGGCTATGGGGGGGAGGAGGAACAGCAAAATGTTTGGAGTGTTGGAGGCAAGACTCAAGCAATGCAGCCAGTGGATAGGGACAGATTCTGAGTGACACACCAGGGCGCCAACCAATTCCGGAGCGTGTGGAATGTTCTAGAGAAGTGCCACCACCATTCGGCTTTTATATATAAGGGAGATATAACTAAAGTCGAGTGTGGCAGTAAAAGAGTTAAGGGCAAGATAGCTAGCTAGGGGGGAAACCTCTTGGTGCCCTAAGCATGTGATTGTTTTGCTTAATGGTTAATCCAGGGCTCCACTCTGTATCTGCTCAGAGGCAATCCCAGCCTGATGCACCGTATTTTTAAAGCAGAAACAAAGTGGTCCCGTTCCCCCACCCCCCCGTTTGTAACCTATTAATGAGTGTATGGTATAGAAGAATAACATCAGGCCTACTGACGTTCTACAGATTGCCTCCAGAGAGTACCACGTCACTTACTCACCATTGCTGAATAGACACACCCTGAGCCCATTATCCATTCCCTGCAACCGAGTCACCGGTTGTAAACCAGTAGATTCCAGTAGCACCTTAAAGACTGATAAGATTTTTGGAGTATGAGCTTTCGATAGTCAAAGCTCCCTTCATCAGATTCACAAACGTGTGAATAAAGCATAAACCGATGCACAGTCATATGCGAATGAAGCAATGCCGGATTTATTAAAGAGAGGCCGTAATTCCTTAGTATTGAAGGCCCCTCACGCCTGCTGAGAGTTACCGCAACCCCCAGATTACAGGAGTGGGCCCAAACCAGTCACTGGCTGGGGTAGGGACTTCCAAGCCAACTTTAGCTGGGACCCGTCTAATGGCGGTGGGCAATGCTCCCTCTAAGCTGTGGAGTCTTGTGAGCAAAAATCCTGCTTTGTGAGCTACCGGCAGGGCTATTTTGGAGCAGGAACGCACAGGAACGGAGTTCGGCTGGCTTCAGAGTTGGCCACACCCACTACAGCCAAAACCTCTGCGTGCCTGGCTACAGAGGGAAGGCCTGGAGAGAGAGACCCCCCCGCCGACGACTCCAAGGCGGGCGGGCCAGGGAGGCTCCTGGAAAGATCGAGGAGGCATTTAAATGACTCCCTGTGCCTTCCCCGGCCTATCCAAGGGCCAGCTTGCCCAGGTGCCCCGCAGCCGCAGGGCACCCAGGCAAGCCAAGGGAAGGCAATTTAAATGAATTACGTTGCCGGGTGAGGTGCTTTCAAGGAGATTTGGCGGTTAGGCCGGCTTGACCTGGGGTGTGGCCTAATATGCTAATGAATTTCTGCTGTTGGATGTGGCCTATTATGCTAATGAGTTCCTGCTGGGCTTTTTCTACAAAAAAAGCCCTGGCTAGCAGCATGAAAGTTGCGAGCTGCTGCATCAGTTCGTTTGCTCTGGAGCCCTCCTTCCTGAGCTCAGACAAAAATATGTGAGCCGGAGGCTAAAAAACTGTGAGCTCACACTGACTCAGCTGAGAGGGAACACTGGTGTGTGTGTGTGTGTGGAAAGTGCCATCAAAATGCAACTGACTTATGGCGACCCCTGGTGGGGTTTTCAAGGCAAGAGACGTTCAGAGGTGGTTTGCCATTGCCTGCCTCTGCATAGCGACGCTGCGCTTCCTTGGGCGTCTCCCCTCCAGATACTAACCCAGGGCCGACCCTGCTCAGCTTCTGAGATCTGATGAGACTAGACTAGTTCATCTCGGTTTTCAAGGCAAGGGGATGAGCAGAGCGGGTCTGCCACTGCCTGCCTCTGCGTAGCAGCCCTGGGCTTCCTTGGGGGTCTCCCATCCAAGTACCAACCTCAGCCAGCCCTGCTTAGCTTCCGAGATCTGATGAGAGTGTGATAGCCTGGGCCAGCCAGGTCGGGGCACCTGCTCTCATGGAAGGATCGATTTGGATCTTTATGCCCCATTCGTCTCCTCCGTAGGGACCCCCCCATCAGCTGACAACACTGGTCCCTTCGACTCCGTGTTATCCTCACCACGACCAGGGGTCATTCCATAGGAAAAGAGGTGCAGGCGCTCATTAGCATAACTCATTAGCATAACTCATTTGCATATGCCACACCCCCTGACGTCACCGGAAGTGTGTCAGAAGGCAACACCCACCGCTCAGGCTCCACTGGACTGTTTTGGATTGCTAGCTATTGGGGGGGGGGGGACGTGCAGATCTGTCCTTGCAGAGGAGGGAGAGCTTGTACCTGAATAAGACTTGGTCAAGGGCCCGCGCGGGTTTTTTGCGCCGGGGGGGGGGGGGGCTCTGCAGCTTACCTAGCTGCTTCTTGCTCTGGCCGAGGGCTGCTGGGAGCAGGGGGTGGGGCTTGTTGCATGTGCCCGCCCCCTGGGCTCTTTACTGCCGGAGTTCCGCTCCTGTGTGCTCCTGCAGGAAATGACCCCTGACCACGACACAATTATGAATCCACTCGGCGACGGCCCATGCAAAGCCCTGAGCTCTCTGCCTGCCCCCTTGCGCTTCTGTCTGCCTATCCCGCTCTGCTTTGCCTTGCAGGCCGCCTTCCCGACGGGACCCTGAAGCCTGCGCCGGTGGCCCCCGCGACGCCCGGAGAAGCGCCGCCCGTCGGCAGCCTGCCTCCTCCCCGGTGGCGGCTGCCCCTCCGACCCGGCTTGTGCAATGGGTGGGTTGTGAGCGCTGGTAAGACCTCGGAGCCTCTCGCTGCTGTCTTCTCTCTCTCCCGGTTCCCTTCTTGCCCACTGATTTCTGTTCTCCATGTGCTCTGCTGTCCTCTCTCTGGGCTTCTCGCTGTCAGGGAATGAGGAGCTGTGGGCCCAGCCCGTCTTGGAGATGCCGAAGAGACGCGACATCCTGGCTATCGTGCTGATAGTTCTTCCCTGGACGCTGCTGATCACCGTCTGGCACCAGAGCACGATAGCTCCGCTGCTCGCAGTGCACAAGGGTGAGGAGAAAGCCGCCGGCCGGCGCCAACCGTGCCCGCCTCTTCCTTCCGCCGACCCCACTGCACCATGGCTCCTTCTCATCGCTTTCATAGTCATCCTTCTCCTTCCATTTATGGCGGTCCTTCCATGTTCACCTCTGGTCCTTCCAAAGTCCTGTGGTTGAAAATGTCCGAGAGTTATAGGGATACATAGAGAGCCATCAGTGGTTATTAGCCACAAGGTATAGATAAGAACTCTCGGTCTGGGGCAAGTGACGCTCTGTATTCTTGGTGCTTGGGGGGAACAGTGGGAAGGCTTTTAGTGTCCTGGCCCCACTGATGGACCTCCTGATGGCACCTGGTATTTTTGGCCACTGTGTGACAGAGAGTGTTGGACTGGATGGGCCATTGGCCTGATTCACCATTGGCTTCTCTTATGTTCTTATGTTAACTGAGGCTCACAGTGTTAGGAAGATATGGAAAAATATATAACACTGTAAATCTATTTTGTGCTTTTTCTTTTTTAAAGATTTTTCTATACTACTTTAGAAATGTTGATGTCAAGTATTTCAAAACATAGATCGACAAGGTGCTGTTTGAACGTAGTGTAAACCTACGCTTTGATGTATTGTTGCGGTCGATATATGTTTTGAAATACTTGACATCAATATATATATAAAGTAGTATAGAAAATCTTTAGAAAAGAAAAAGAAAAAAGCACAAAATAGATTTACCTTAAGTATACCCTTATTGGGGCTGCGGTGGCTCAGAGGTTAAGATGCTGAGCTGCAGACCAGAAGGTCGGTAGTTCGGCAGATCGAAACCCGAGTGCTGCGTGACAGAGTGAGCTCCCGTCTCTGGCCTTAGCTCCTGCCTACCTAGCAGTTCGAAAGCAAGAAATTGCAAGTAGATAAATAGGTACCACTTCAGTGAGAAGATAACAGCATTGTATGCGCCTTGGCGTTTAGTCATGCTGGCCACATGACCACGGAAACGTCTTCGGACAGTGCTGGCTCTTCAGCTTGGAAACGGAGATGAGCACCACTCCCTAGAGTTGGATTCGATTGGCTTTCGAGCAAGGGAAACCATTATACATTTATTACACAGTGTTATATGTTTTTCCATAACCTCCAGGTGGGGCCTAGAGATCTCCTAGAAGAGGGGAAAGAGCAAAAGGTCTCTTCAGAGCTCCTGTTTCATTGAACGTAGCATAACCTGTTTCACTGAAATAACCAAATAGGTCAAGGGTCCTTAATGTGGGGCCCATGACCCACCGTCATGCTTACCCCTACCTCTCCTGGTGCCTGCCAAGGGTTTTTAGAAAGTGGGAGGGACATGGTGTGGCTTTTGCCCAGAAAGGATTCTGATTGGCTACTGGAGATTTGATTGACTGTCCAGATTTTTTTAAAAAAATGGTTTGGCAGCAGCTGCCATCACAGCAGAAGAATCTTTGCAGTGAGAGTGAAGGAAAAGCGCAGCCAGGCCTTTTGTGGCTGTGCCCGCCATGCTGTGTCACAATTTCAAAGGGTCAAAAGGTTGGATATCCCTGAAATAGACTTGGAGAGGGTGGATCTCATCTGTTATCCCTTCATGAACAACCACAAAATACAGGCCTGGAAGTGGTCACACTGGCTTGTGCTTTGCAATAGCAGGAGAGTTCTAATCTTCCCATGAGCCCAAATGTGCTCTGGGCAGTTTGGGGATATATGTATTAATGTTATTAATGATGCAGCTGTTCTGATTATGGTGGCAGTTATGTACTTCTTCTAGTCTCCTTCATCCTTTATTAATTGTACTAGAAATAAGGCCCGTTGTGGAAATAAATACAACGAGATCTAGAAAGAGGCTCTGGGAGAGTGCTCTGGCTTTGGGCAAACAGTGTCAGTCTGCTTTTAAAACATGAACCTGGGACCTGCACACCACCAGAATACAGCAGATTCCACAAAGCAGCCATTTGCTTCAGGGGGACTGATCCGGATCGTCTGGAGATCCATTGTAATAACAGGAGATCTCCAGCTGCCACCTGGAGGTTGGTAACCCTAGCCCATGCCCAAGCATTTCACAGTCTTAAATGGATCACACGTTCTTATTTGTTCCTCCTCACGGGGTTATGTGAGTAGCCACCATGGGTGCAAGATTTTGCAGTATGATGCATCCAAGTTCTCCTGTTTTCTTGCTTTTCTCTTACATATTATGGCGCTGAGTCAAAACCCTTCCAGTTTTGGTGACCAGAAAGATTAAATTGATCCATAAGAATTGTCTCTCCAGAGAACTGGTTTGGGGTACATCTTCTGAACTGGGGAGGAGGGGGTACCTACAGAACTATCGTGCCTTCCCTGGGAACTGTAGTCTGGAGAGGATACTGAGGGAGAGATTCCCGTTCCCCCCTCAGAACTCTGGTCCCCAAGGTTCCCTGGGGATAGTGCATGGTTCTTAAGCAGATTTAGGTTTGCAACCTAGGTCTTAAGGATTGTATAATGGGCATCCAGAAAGTGTGGACGATCACTGTAATGTATTGAGACTGAAACATTCCAGGACTGATTCTACCAGAGACTGGCTGAGCTCAGAGCCCAAGAACAATAGCCCACCAGGACTCTGGAAGTAACCAATCAAGAAGTAATATTATGTAAATAGCCTATCGTTGGGAGTGGGGTGTGTTTGGGTGTGGCCATTGCATGCTATTTGAACAGGGATGTGGCCCTGGAATTTAGTCTTGTTCTTGCTGAAATCACTGATAAAGTAAAGCTGATCACTAGACTTAGGGTCTGCTCATCCATGGAGCCCACTATTTAACGATCACCATACCACCATACCATAGAACCAGGGGGGGTTCTATTTTTCCACCCCCGCAGATGTCCCTGCTAGTGTTATTGGAATTAATCGGATGTTATGGCACTTTGCATCTGTTGTGTTCTTTTTTCACGGTAAGAACTTGCCGTAGGCTTTTTATGAGGATGTAAACCACCTCGAGGACCTAACTCGTCACAGAAGGCAGACTCTTAACCGTGTCAGTGAATCGAAATCGCCATGCTACGGTTTCTCTGCTGTACCTATACGTGCCCCTTGAAGTCAATGGATCTAAAAAAGCGTCCCCACTGCTGGGCTGTGGCCAAAGTGCTCTGCTAAGGTCAGCTGGCGGCTGGTCCTGATCCACAGTCCTGTACCAATCCCCACCTAGCCATGTAGCTATTGCTAGGTACCCTCCGGCATGTTTACCTTTCGCCTAACCGTAGATGCCCACATGATCTTAAGTGTTAAATACAGGCAGGAGTGTGTGGATTCTTCACCATAGGGTTGCCAAGTACTTACCTCGAATTGGCGGGGGACACACGGTTTCTGGCCGGAACATTTCTGTGTGTAAGACACGCGTGCGCTACAATGCTGTCACCCGCTGCGGCATCAATTAGTTTGCTCCGGAGCCGTCCTTCCTGAGCTAAGACAAACATGTGTGAGCTGGAGGCTAAAAAACTGTGAGCCAGCTCACACTAACTCAGCTTAGAGGGAATACTGTTGCCAAGTACTTGCCTCGAATTGGCGGGGGACACACGGTTTCTGGCGGGAACATTTCTGTGTGTGAGACACGCACACGTGCTACAATGCTGTCACCCAGACGTGACGTCAGCACGCTGGGCACGCAGCCGGGCGACGCTCTGGCAATTGGGCTGAAAACTCGATGGTGCTGACGTCACGTCTGGGCGACAGCATTCTGGCTCGTGGTGGTTTTCCAAGTGGGACTGTTCCTGCCAGGAACTATGTGTCTTCCACCAATTCGAGGTAAGTACTTGGCAGCCCTACTTCACCAGCACAACACAAGCAGACAATTTGGCCTCGGGTGCAGAATTCAGCATGTCAAGCATTCTTTTCTTTTTTAAAGCTGTGTTTCTTGCCCTTCAGGCTATCAGGATAGGGCTGGAAGAAGACAATGCCTCTTCAGGCCCATAGCCAGGATTCTTTTAATGGGGGGGGGGCTTTAAATAAGTCAGGGGGCACCCACACACACACCCCTTCACACACCCCCAAGGGAGCTCCTGGGCCGGATGGGAAGTCAGGGGGCCGGGCCCCGAGACGCCCCACTGTAGCTACGGGCTGGTCTACCTTGTGTCACTTCTGTTTTTTTACAAGAAGTGACATGACAACACGAGTGGCATTGCAGGTTTTTTAAAAAGTTCTCCCGCCCCCATTCACAGTAGTGGTGGCAGGAGACCCAGCAGGAACTCATTAGCATAATAGGCCACACCCAACAGCAGACACTCATTAGAATTGGTTACATTACGGGTGTGTGGCCTAACATGCAAAGGAGTTCCTGCTACAAAAAAAGCCCTGGGTTTTGACAACAAAGTAAACCGAATAAGAAGCAAAAGGTGGGTGTGGCTGGATGACCACACTTCTGGTAGCATGGGGGTGCGGCCTAATATGCTAATGTGCTATGCTGTCAAGGGTGTGGCCTAACATGCTAATGAGTGTCTGCTGTTGGGTGTGGCCTATTATGCTAATGAGTCCCTGCTGGGCTTTTTCTACAAAAAGAGCCCTGCGTGTTGGTAAATAACAGCCATGGGGAACATTTTGAGGCAAGGCATTCTGAGGACGTTTCCAGGACACACAAAAGGAAGTATTTCTTCACACAGTATATAGTTAATTTGTGGGGATGTGTGGCCATGGTCGCCAATGGGGAGGGCTTTGGAAGGGGAGCGGACAACTTCAAGGAGGTCTGGATGACCCACGGCTACTAATCATGACGCATGTCTCCTCCCTCCAGTATCAGCGTGCCTCCTCAGATCAGTTGCTGGGGAACATAGACGGGATAATGTACTTGCAGTCTTCCTGTTCGTGGGCTTCCTACAGGTAGCTGGTTGGCCTTGGTGTGAACTGAATGCTGGACTTGATGAGTCTTGGGCCCATTCCAGCATGGGAGCCAGTTTGGTGTAGTGGTTAAGTGTGTGGGCTCCAATCTGGGAGAACCGGGTTTGATTCCCCGCTCCTCCACTCGCAGCTGCTGGATGACCTTGGGCAAGCCATAGTTCTGTCAGAGCAGTTCTGTCAAGCACTCTCTCAGCCCCACCTACCTCGCAGGGGGTGCCTGTTGTGGGGAAGGGAAGGGAAAGGAGTTTGTAAGCCGCTCTGAGACTCCGAGTGAAGGGCGGGGTATAAATCCAATCTCTTCTCTCTTCTATGTTCTTGTATTTGGATTGTGGTGGGATTTTAGGGCAGAGAGTGGATTGGGGTGAGGTCCCTTTGCCATTGCACTTGTCCAAGGCTGTAAATGCTCCTACCCTGGAGCTGCCATATGCCCCATTATCCAACAAATATGGTCATCCATTAGGGTTGCCCCCTGGCCACCAGTGGGGGACGGGGGTGGTGGTAGGGTTGCCAGATCCAAGTTGGGAAACTCCTGGAGATTTGGAGATGGAGCCTGGGGAGGACGAGGACCCCAACGGGGTACAACGCCATAGAGTCCACCCTCCGAAGCATCCATTTTCTCCAGGGAACTGATCTCTGTCGTCTGGAGATGAGATGTAATTCCAGGGGATCCCCAGGTCCCACCTGGAGGCCAGCATCCCTATCACCCACTGGGCCTGCCCCAGTGGCACAAACCCAGGGGAGGGGTCATTTGAGGTTGGGAAAATGAAATATGGATCTCCCCACCAGTGTTCCCTCTAAGCTGAGTTAGTGTGAGCTGGCTCACAGTTTTTTAGCCTCCGGCTCACAGATTTTTGTCTTAGCTCGGGAAGGATGGCTCCGGAGCAAACTAATTTATGCAGTAGCCGAATCGCTCGCTCACAGCTTTAATGCCAGTCGCTCACAAAGTGGAATTTTTGCTCACAGGACTCCATAGCTTAGAGGGAACATTGCGTCCCCACCCCATCTACAACTTTCATTTATTGTCACGACCCGTTTGGGAGAACTGTTCACCCATTGTCAGCTTTAGGCCCTAGAAGCTGAACGAATTAGGGAGAATAAGGAAAGGTTTTCAGGTTTCCTTCATCAGAGTCGTGGAGACAGACTGAGGAGTTCCGGTTTTCTCGATAGTGGATTTTGTATGCAGCCTGACAGAGAGGAATCCTGATGTTGTCTGTGCTCTTCCCATCATTTCCTGCTTTCACCTTCTGCTCTTGACCTTGTTTTCTTTTCCCTCTACTAGTGTTCCCTCTAAGCTGAGTTAGTGTGAGCTAGCTCACAGTTTTCTAGCCTCCAGCTCACAGACTTTTGTCTTAGCTCAGGAAGGGTGGCTCCAGAGCAAACTAATTTATGCAGCAGCCAAACCGTTCTCTCACAACTTTAATGACAGTAGGGCACAAAGGAGAGTTTTGTGGCTTTTTAAACTAATTTTTATCCAGTTTTCCCTTTTCAGTGATTATTTTGGCTGGATAAGCAGCATAGTAATAGTTACTAAGATTAGGAAATTGTATTCCACCTTTCTTGTCTTTCCTATGGAGTATGTATGCCTGTATTCTAGGCCTTTTATGTGCCCACAAAAAATCATTTAACGCATTTTGCCATTCTTTTAAACACGAGCTTTGCAACGGCAGTAGAACCATTCGCTAATATGATTAGGAATACAACCGATATTACTGGAATCAAAATTGGAAAGAAACAATACAAAGTTACCTTATTTGCAGAGGATAGTTAACTTCCCTGCAAAGAGTCTTGGAAGAATACAGTAAAGTATCAAAGTAGAGTTTTTGCTCGCAAGACTCCACAGCTTAGAGGGAGCATTGCCCCCAACCTACCCAGTCCAAGGGGAGACTCTTGCCTTTGTGTTTGGCTCTTGGCTGTTCTCAGGGCGGCTGTTGGAAGGCTGACCTTTCATTCCTTCTTTGTCCTTTCCCGCCCTCTTGTATGTCACTACAGACGATGGTGGAGATTCCCGTCGCGACTTCTCCCAAGGCTCTGACTCCAAGGAGTACTGTCTCTCTGACCGGGATATTGTGGAGGTGGTTAGGACAGAGTACGTCTACACACGCCCACCTCCCTGGTCAGATGCCTTGCCCACCATCCATGTCGTCACGCCCACCTACAGCCGGCCTGTCCAGAAGGCAGAGTTGACGCGGCTCGCCAACACTTTTTTGCACGTCCCCAACTTGCACTGGATCTTGGTGGAGGACTCCCAGCGACGGACCCCTCTCGTCACCCGCCTCTTGAGGGACACGGGGCTGAACTACACGCACCTCAACGTGGAGACTCCTCGCAACTATAAGCTGAGGGGGGACATGAGGGACCCGCGGATCCCCCGCGGGACAATGCAAAGGAACCTGGCCCTGCGGTGGCTGAGAGAGACCTTTAATAGAAACAACAGCCAGCCTGGGATTGTTTACTTTGCAGATGACGATAACACCTACAGCCTGGAACTATTTGAGGAGGTAAGGGGTCACTGATCTGGCCTGCTGGGGTGAGTTGCTACTCCTGGTCTTCTTTTTTTCTTTCTTTCTTTCTTGGTAAGTATTTGTGTGTGTGTGTGTGTGTGTGTGTGTGTGTGTGTGTGTGTGTGTGTGCGCTATATCATACTCCCACAAGGAAAAGAGATAAGGCAAAGTGATAAGGAGTGTAACAAGCCCTTGTGGGAGTATGATAAGGCATGCAAAATATGTAAACTGTGTGGTTCCATAAGAATATATTGACTCTGAAGAAGTAGAATTGAAACTCTCTTGGCCGACAGGAGATGTCAGCCTGGTTTCTCAGCCTCCCTGCAGACCTGTAAGTTTGAAACTAAGAAAGTTTGAAACAGCAAAGAAGATTACAGTGTTTTCAAGGACTGTATACAGCCCATTTACTGGTCTTGCTTTGGGAAGGCTTCTTTATACTTGTGTATTTGTTTCACAGCTTTTGTGTTTAAATAGCAATAAGTACATGTGGATCATACTAAAAGATTTATAGTTTCATCTCTATGAATGATTTTCTCATTTATAATGTTTGACACATATGCCTTTCAGTGGTATTTGACCTTGAGCAATACGTTCTCTCCACGGTGATTTTGTTTTTGTTATTGTACTTAGTATCTCTGTGGTCCCATTGTATTTAGTCTCCCCTCCTTCTGCCTACTTGGCACACGCCGTGGCAGCTTTCTCTCGCGCGCCTGCCCAGCTTAGTTTGCTGCTTCTCCTACCCAACAGCCACTCCATTACATTCATCTCTTGGGGGAATTTACCCTCCCCTTTATTTGGAAGGGCTCGCATTTTTCTGTAAGCCCTGGGAATCCTCCAAGTCTGCAGAAGAGTACCCCCTTATTTGAACCTGGCCCCATTCTCTAGGTTTATGGATCTGTATGGGGCAATGCTCCCTCTAAGCTGTGGAGTCCTGTGAGCAAAAATCCTACTTTGTGAGCTACTGGCATTAAAGTTGTGAGCGGGCGATTTGGCCACTGCATAAATCAGTTTGCTCCGGAGCCATCCATCCTGAGCTAAGCCAGAAATGTGCGAGCCAGAGGCTAAAGAACTGTGTGCTGGCTCACACTCACTCAGCTTAGAGGCGACACTGGTATGGGGCCAGGATCAGTGTTAGGTTTAGGAAAGATGTGTTACAGTACTATAATATTTAGCCCCCCCTCTGAACATCTGAAGCTGCATTCTTCCAATCTAGACAATTGGTGCAGCTAGGGCTCTTTTTGTAGCAGGAGCAGCTCTCAAGCAAAAGTCCTCCCCAATCCTGCCCCTGAAGATCCTTCTGACTGGGGCTCATGGCAAGGACTTGGACCTTGGACCTTCTGCACAAACACCGTCACTGATCTGCAGCTCTGCCACTGACCAGGAAGCATAACGGCCGAGGAGCTAAGCCCGAAGTGGTGCTTTCTAGCAGGACGATGGAGAAATGGTACTTCGCAGTTCCTCTGGAACAGAGTTCCGGCACAAAAATCTTGCGTGGCTTTTCCCTTTGGGTGGGTCAAGGTGGTACAGTGAGCCTTCTGAGCACACCCAAAGGTGCCTTCTAATGAGTTACAGTATTGGAACAATATTGCTTTCTCTTTTGGAACATTTGGCAAAATACTTAGATCTTTAGAGGACGCAATGGATCTTCGCTTCACTGGAGAGGAGACATTTTCTTCTGTGTAAAAATCTTCATTTCTTTGGGAAGGGTTCACAGGAAATCTACAAAATAACAAAGGCACCTAAGACTACATCTTTACACTTAGACCACACGGTCTACAACAATGGAGATTCTTCTTCTTGACCCCTAGAAGGAAATCACCTGAATACATTAAATAATGATTGCTAGTAAACAGAAAGATTGAAGGTCAAAGAAGACGGGGACGGCAAAGGATGAGATGGTTAGACAGTGTCATAGATGCAACGAACATGAAATTGAGCAAACTTCAGAGGATGGCGGAAGACAGGAGGGCCTGGCGTGATCTGGTCCATGGGGTCGCGAAGAGTCAGACTCGACTGTGCGACTGAACAACAACAAAGTAAACAGACTTCAGTTTCATGGGCTTTCTTTCCATTGGCTCTGTGCCAGGTTTCCCTTCCAGGTCAGTCTAAACAATAGCACACAAGGTAAACAGATTAACCCTATAATGACTGGAATTTAGACCTTGCAACACACATATTTCCAACAACTCTGACCAGCAATCGGTCTGCACAGTCTCTGGGTCTTTCATGTCACTTACTGCCCTTTAACAAGACACGAGAGCCTGAACTTGGGACCTGCTGCACGTGGCGTGCGTGTCTGCCCTTTGAGCGTCTGCCTCTCCCCTTTCGTATGCGCATGGCCGTTGGCTTTAAAATTCTCACAAAGGCTTTAAACGTCTTGCAAAAGGGCATGGTGCTTTGTTCACTCCTCTTCTCCCATACGGTGAGCCGGGACTGGAGCACTATCACCTTGAGAGCCAGTTTGGTGTCGTGGTTAAGTGCGCGGACTCTAATCTGGGAGAACCGGGTTTGATTCCCCCCTCCTCCACTTGCACCTGCTGATGTGACCTTGGGTCAGTCGCAAGCTCTGGCACAGCTGTCCTTGAAAAAGAGCAGTTTGTGTCAGAGTTCTCTCAGCCCCACCCACCTCACAGGGTGTCTGTTGTGGGGAGGCGAAGGGAGAGGAGTTTGTAAGCTGCTCTGAGTGAAGGGCGGGGTATAAATCCAACCTCCTCCTCCTCCTCCTCCTCCTCCTCCTCCTCCTTCTCCTTCTTCTTCTTCTTGAATACTGGTTTGGCCCACATGAGAATCGTCTTTAAATGGCAAATTATTTATTTGCCACTGTCCAACTTCCACTCCCGTACAGAGCAAACAGCAAATGGATTTGCCATTTACTATGTTATGGGTGTGTGAAAGTCAGACAATGAAGAAAGCGGACGGGAAGAAAGTGGGTTCCTTTGAAATATGGCATTGGTCGGAGGAGAGTTTTATGGGTACCATGAACCACCGAAAAGACAAATGAGTGGGTTCGATATTAAATCAAGCCTGAACTCTCCCAAAACTGAGGCTATTGTACTCTTGGTCACATTTTGAGAAGGTAAAACTGGCTGGAAAAGACAATCATGCTAGGGAAATGTGAAGGCGTTAGTAAAAGTGGAGATGGATGGACTCAGTCAAGGGAGCCCCGCTCCTCAGTGTGCAAGACCTGAGCAAGGCTGTTAGCCATAGGGCACTTCGGAGGTCATTCATTCAGAAAGTCACCATAAGTTGGAAGCCACTGGATGACACATAATACACACACACACATTTAAAGAATGATGGCCTGGGTCACACGGGCAGGAAAATGCGGGGGGGAAGCGTGGCTGTTTGCCCCAGGGCAAAATAACGCGCGTTTGCGCCAGCAGACATACCGTGGAGGTCCCATGGTAGGGGGGAGGTGCCGAGCACACCACAATCCTGCGCCACGGCAAAGAAGCAGCGCGGCAAATGGGTGGTTGTTTTTTTTTACACCAAAGTGTGCGCATGCCCCATTGGGTGTTTGTGCGCATCCCATGGACAGTTGAAAAAAAACCCTTTATATGAGGGGGCATGGGCGGGCGCCGGAACTACCACCGGAAATGCGATCAGACGCCCGCCCTTGCCCCGCGGTTACCGGAAACTAGTACCTCCGAGGTACTTCCCAGATGTGGCGGTGAGATCGCGCCCGGAAAATCCGCCTATCTTTCATCCCTCTAGCGTGCCTAATGCTCCGTGTGACCGCAGCCTATAACTCTCTTTTAAATTGAGAGCCAGTTTGGCATAGTGGTTAAGTGCGCAGACTCTAATCTGGGAGAACCGTGTTTGATTCCCCACTTCTCCACTTGCAGCTCCTGGATGACCTTGGGCAAGCCGTAGTTCTGACAAGAGCTGTCCTTGAGAGACCAGTTCTCGAAAGACCTCTTAGTCCCATCTACCTCATGGGGTGTCTGTTGTGGGGAGGGAAAGGGGAGGCAGTTTGTAAGCTGCTCTGAGACTCTGAGTGAAGGGCGGGGGTATAAATCCAATCTCCTCCTTAAATGGAAAATAAAATTGCTTTGGTGGGCAGACCCCCCCCCCCAGTCCTAAAGGTCTTGAATGCCACCCATTTGACCACCCATCTCTTTCCATCCAAGACTCTTGCTGGTATGTTTAAATTCTCGAAGCCAGTTTGGTGAATGTTTAAGTGTGCGGACACTAATCTGGGAGAACCGGGTTTGATTCCCCACTCCTCCACTTGCACCTGGCTGGATGACCTTGGGCAAGCCGTAGTTCTGATAAGAGCTGTCCTTGAAAAAGAGCAGTTTCTGTCAAGAGCTCTCTCAGCCCCACCCACCTCACAGGGTGTCTATTGTGGGGAGGGGAAGGGAAAGGAGTTTGTAAGCTACTCTGAGACTCCCTTGGGTAGTGAAGGGTGGGGTATAAATCCAATCTCTTCTTCTTCTTCTTTTACCTCACAGGGTGTCTGTTGTGGGGAGGGGAAGGGAAAGGAGTTTGTAAGCCACTCTGAGACACCTTTCGGTAGTGAAGGGCGGGGTATAAATCCAATCTCTTCTTCTTCTTCTTCTTCGAAGAAGAAAATAACAGGAAGGGATAAGGAAGTTCTCTTTTAAAAATTTTTTAAGAAAGACGTTCATTGTAAGTTCCATTATTTTATTTCATTTTTTGGCTATCGAGTCACAGCTGACGTATGGCGACCCCTGGTGGGGGTTTTCAAGGCGAGAGACGTTCAGAGGCGGCTTTGCCATGGCCTGCCTCTGTGTAGCAACCATTGATTTCCTGGGTGGTCTCCCATCCAAATACTAACTAGGGCTGGCCCTGCTTAGCTTCTGAGATCTGATAGGATCACGCTAGCCTGGGCTATCCAGCTCTGTGAAAATGCCTGTTCTTAATCAGTTTTGAGTTTTTGCTGCAAATAAAATTTGTGCCCACCAGGGGTCATTTCCTGCTGGAGCGCACAGGAGCGGAGCTCCGGCAGTAAGGAGCCCAGTGGGCGGGCACAT